TTAAACAGGCACTGGTCAATGTCCCGTGTCTAGGCTGACTGACATTTCTCCACAGCCAGCACCAAAGAATGGTGAGCTCTCTGTCTAGGCTACGAGGGTCACGCACCCACACCTGGCATTCTCAGAATGTGCGCCCCAGGTTGTGGCCACTCGTAATGCCTGTCACCGGGTAAAATCACCATTCGTGGTGTACCTCTGGCATATGGGATCAGCTTATTCCCGTCGTTGGGACCAATTGGCAGCTGGCCTGGAGACAAAAGGATGGAGTTATCTATCTGGCTGTTCTTGGCCTGTCTAGTGTGGTACCGGTTATGACTCAAACTCAAGGCCGATCAAGCAAATTCCATCTTGGGGGAATAAGCGATCAAGAACTGATAGTTTAAGACGGTCTCCCTTACCCTACCAGGTGCAATGGAAACAAGTCCTCTGGGTGCAAGGGCTAAGGGGAACAGAAAGAGATGCAAACACCCATCCCTGTGCAATGGAGTCATCTCCTAGGGGTGCAAGGGCTGTTTGTCTCAAAATTCAGGTACCACAGCTACACAGACAAGGATCAGCCAGGCCAAGACTCCTCACTGACCCAGTGTAATGGGCAAATCCTCTGGGGTGCAACGCTGATGGCCTAACATTTAGCACCACCACTCGTGAGGGGGAGACTGCTTATAATTGAGGCAGTGATAACCACACTGCAGGGGAAGCCCCTAGTACTTTGGTCACAAGCGCCTGGCCAATAATAGCCTTGTCAAGATTTTGTTGAGCTCTGAGTTTGCAAACCAACCAAAAGATGAATACTAATCCGCAACATAGGGCATACCAAACAGGCCTACTCCCACCCACTTAAAAAAAAAAAAAGAAAGAAGAAAAAGAAAAGAAAAAGAAAGCTGGAGAAATCCAGGAGGACAGTCCCTCAGTCAGGGACAGATCCACGCGCGTCGAGTTGATGTTCACCACAGCTGCTCTCAATTTTCTGAGTGTCTCACTGAAGTTTTCTGACCAATTTCCTGTAAGATACTGAAACAATTTTCTGGACAGATTAGTTACACGAGTAAAGTTTTTATACTGTACACTGGTGATGTAAAGTGTACCCAGTTTTTTCTCACATCTCAATTGGGCTAATTGAAAGAGGATATCTAATCTCTCTCTCATTAAATCAAGGCGTTGATTAAGGATCATTAGCCCGCCTTTTAGTTGGGCGCTGGCGGAGGTTTGAAGGTTAACAGTCTCTGTCACCGTGGCTGACAATTGGGGGTAGTGTCCACCTGAACAGAAGTTGACATAGCAATCCCAGTGGCAGTGGCGGTAATGGCACTAACTGATATTGCCGCCACTATGGCTGTAGTTATACCAAATCTCTTTTTTGTCTAAATAATGACAAAGTGGAAGGAGTCTCCACGGGGATGGGAACCCATTGTGACTCTGGCAACCATAGCTCGAGTGAATCTTTCAGAATTTTAACGCTGGGACATCTAGCAGGTTTTATTGGTACAATTCTTAAAGGTGAAATTTGATAAAATAAACAAAAATACTAGGAACCTGTATCCCTTGGATCAGCACAAGGGCTATCATCAGAGCCTGGAGGGTCCGCCTGGGTGTCACCTTCCAGTATCGCGAGTCGCCGCGTCAGCCGCTCTGGTAGCCAAAACGGGTTGTCTTCTTCCTGTGGGAACACACAGACCGCTCCCCTGGCTCTTAATAAAACAATATCTGGGCCCTTCCATTGTCCGGTCAAAATATCCTTCCATTTCACCATCTCTTTCGGCCTCTCAGGCTCTAAACAGTGACGGTCAGCAGCGGAATGGCCCTGACTGTCCAGGTTTAAAATATTGAGGGTAAAAGGTGCTATAGAAACGCTGACTCGTGGCACTGAGGGTAGAGTCTCCTCGACTCCTCCCTTTTGTTTTATTAGATAAGACTTAAGAGTGCGATGAGCCCGTTCTATGATGCCTTGTCCTTGAGGGTTATAAGGGAGGCCTGTCAGATGGGTTACCTCTATTTGGCGACAAAACTGTCTAAACTTTTGAGAAGTGTACGATGGCCCATTGTCCGTCTTAAGAATTTTAGGCTTCCCCCAGGCACTCCATGCCTCAAGGCAGTGTTGAATAACATGTGCTGCCTTTTCTCCGGTCAACGGAGAAGCAAATATAATTCCAGAATAGGTATCAATGGAAACATGTAAATATTGTAATTTGCCAAAGGTTGGGATGTGAGTAACATCCATTTGCCAAATCTGTAGTGACCGAATTCCTCGTGGATTAATTCCTACATGAGGCACTGGTAAAAATTGACAGCAATTCTGACATTGAGTAACTATATCTCTAGCTTCCTTTCTAGTTATCTCAAACCGACGACGTAACGTCTCTGCTGTCACATGAAAGTTTTTATGAAAATCCTTGGCCAAATCTAATTTGGAAGATAAGGCGATAGCAACCAATTTTGTGGCTCGATCCGCTAGGTCATTCCCATGAGACATTGGGCCTGGTAGACCTGAGTGAGCCCTGATATGTGTAATAAAAACCGGGAATCTCCTATTAACTAAGGCGAATTGAATCTTTTGAAAAACTTTTACGAGTCTACTAGATGGTCTAATTAGCCCAGCCACTTCTAAGGCTTTAACTGCATTTACTACATAAAAGGAATCTGAAACAATATTTAAAGGGCCTGGAAAGGTTTCAAGAACCTCCAAAACTACCAAGCATTCCACAACTTGAGGTGAGGTCTCATGATATTGTTTGGCAGTGACCTTATTATCAATTACATAAGCACCCACACCTGTCTTTGACCCATCTGTGTAAACAACCACTCCATCCGGGAGCGGCTTTTGAGATAAGACATGTGGAAATACAATAGCTTGAGTTAAGGCAAACTGTAAAATGGGATGTTTAGGGTAGTGATTACCTATTTGACCATTAAAGGAGGTGACCAACACGGCCCAAACATCAGAGGTAGCAGTTAATATTTGAACTTGATGTGCAGTATAAGGCACTATTAAAACTTTAGGCTCCCTTCCAAAATGAGTGACAGCTGCTTTTAATCCCCGTAAGGCAAGCTGAGCAACCGCATCTGGATACCATTCAATAATCTTTGCAGGAGATGCATTAGGATGAATCCATAATAAGGGCCCATCCTGCCATAACACGGCAGTTGTGTAAATGTCTGGTTTTAAAGACACACAGATTAAAAGTTTTGGTCTCATCAATGCGTTTTAGCTGAGCTTCTTGCAAGGCATCCTCCACCAATTGCAGGGCATGGTTTGCAGCCAGTGTTAGCGCTCTTGGTGAGGAAATATGGGAATCTCCTTCCAGAATGTCAAACAAAGGTTTTAATTCAGCAGAGGGAATTTTCAAAAATGGTCTTAACCAATTTATATCACTTAATAACTTTTGAAAATCATTTAAGGTATGTAAATGATCTCTGCGAATTTCTAATTTTTGAGGAACTATTTTCTCAGGGTAAATAACTGTCCCTAAAAAGGAACCAATTTCTGAAATTTGAACCTTCTCTGTGGCAATATGCAGACCCCACTGTCTTAATGTAGCAATTAATAAAGGATATGAGTTCTGCAAAATGGTCAACTCTTTATGGCATATTAAAATATCGTCCATAAAATGAATCAAGAGTAGAGAAGGAAATTGTTTCTTAACAGGTTCAAGGGCCATTTGTACATACAGCTGACACATGGTAGGACTATTGGCCATGCCTTGAGGCAAAACTGTCCACTGATATCTTTTGTCTGGTTCAAGGTGATTAACAGCAGGTAAGGTGAACGCAAATCTTTGCCTATCTTGCGGGTGTAGGGGAATGGAGAAAAAGCAAGCCCTAATGTCTATAATTATTATCCTCCACTGCTTAGGTAAAGCAGAGAGCAGAGGCAGGCCTCGTTGCACTGAGCCAAACAGCTGCATCTGTCTATTAATGGCCCTTAGATCATGGAGAAGTCTCCATTTTCCTGATTTCTTTTTTATAACAAAGATAGGGGTATTCCAAGGAGAAGTAGAAGGTTCTAAATGACCAAGCTGTGCCTGTTCCTCAATCAGCCTTGTAGCAGCTTCCAATTTCTCAGAGGATAGGGGCCACTGAGGAACCCACACGGCTTCCTCTGTAAGCCAGGGTATGGGCAAAGAGCCCTCAGTGGCAACTAGGGAAAACCCAGACCTTGTCTTCCTGTATTACTTTCTTGTGAAATTGGGTTTAACCTTCCTTGTTCTTTTCTGCCAAGGCCTTTTCCTTCCTTATATCCCATTCTTTTCATAATATTAATAGCTTGTTGAGAGTACTCATTAGTTAGTGTCAGTCCCAGGTCTTGTAAAATGTCTCTTCCCCAGAGGTAAACGGGAAGAGGAAGCACATAAGGTATAAAGCTTCCTGTCTGACCCTCTGGCGTCTTCCAAGTCAAGGAGCGTGAACTGACGGTAGGGTTGGCCTCATATCCCAACCCTTGTAAGGAATGGGATGACTGTGTAACAGGCCACGTTTTAGGCCACCAGTTAGAGGAAATAATACTTTTATCAGCTCCTGTGTCTAAAATTCCTGTAAAGCTCTTCCCTTCTATTGTTAATTGTAAAGTGGGTCTGGTTTTGAGATCCACTACTAAATGAGCAAAGTCAGTTCCTGAAGAACCGAACCTATTGGCACCTCTTGGCGCCCCGGTGGATGGAAAACAATTATGTAAACTTGGAAGAATAACCAATTGAGCAATCCTATCTCCAGGGGAGATAGAAAATATGCCTGTGGGCAAGAACAGAGAACTTGAAGTTCCCCTGTATAATCTTGGTCTATCACACCAGGATGAACCACAAGCCCCTTCAAGGTAAGAGAGGAGCGGCCTAGAATGAGGCCAACGCTTCCCTCAGGCAGGGGACCTTTAAAATCAACCGGGATAGGTTGCACACCCTCATGTGGCATTAATAAGAATTGGGAGATAGAGCGGAGGTCCAACCCTGAGGAACCTCTTGTAGCTCTGCAGTTAGAGGTCTCCCCCGGTTGTAGGCTTGTGTCCCATATTTTTTGGGGCCCTGAGACATTGGGCCCGGATATTCGTTTTTTGAAATATTTTCATCTCTTCCTATAGGGGAGGGATCATGTTGAATAATCCTTCCCTGAATGTCCTTAACCGAGCGACATTCATTGGCCCAATGATATCCCTTCCTGCATTTAGTACATAACCCAGGGGTTTTCTTTTGTATAGGAGTACGACATTCTCGTTTCAAATGACCCGGTTTACCACAATTATAACATACTTTACGGCCGCCAGGACTTGAGCGGCTCTGGCCCTGCAGGATAGCTGCTGCCAGGCCAGCATTAGTCAGTGGGCCTCCAAGACCTCGGCAGACCTTTATCCAATCTGTCAGCCCTTTGTTTCTCCTAGGGGTAATAGCTGCCTTACATTCTGGTGAGGCATTTTCATATACTAATTGCTCGATCAATGGCTTGACTTGCTCTGGGTCTCCGAAAATTTTGCCTGCTGCTTCTGTCATTCTAGCAACAAATTCTGAGAAGGACTCCTGGGGGGCTTGTAATATTTTTGTTAAATTTCCTCCAGCCTCGCCCCTTTTCGAGAGGGCCTTCCATGCCTTAATTTCGGCGGCGGAAATCTGGCCATATGCTCCCCAATCATAGTTAGTCTGGTCAGCAACATACTGTCCTTGCCCTGTTAATAATTCGAAAGTCCACTGTCTCTGGTTGCCCTCCGCATTAGCGTTGGCCTTTGCCTGTGCTTGAGAAGCATCGTGCCACAAAGCCTTCCATTCCATATACTGTCCCATATTAGGGAGAGCAGCTTTTACTGTGTTCTGCCAATCATTCGGAGTCATTGCCATAGTGGCAAATCTCTCAAGCTGCATAATTGTAAAATTAGCATCAACTCCATATTTGTTAACCGATTCAGCAAATTCTTTGATAGAAGCATACTCTACAGGTGCGTGGACACGGCCTCCTCCCGCGTCCTCAAACACTGGAAAAGCTTGTAACATTTTTCTCTTGTCTTCCTCTGAAAGGAAGGAGCCTGAGCAGCGCCTGTCCACATGAGGCGGAAGTGCGCCGGGAACATTAGGTTGGGAGGGCGCTACAGGCCGAGAGGCCGTCCGGCTTCTATCTCTCGTTTTCCTCTGCTTTAGATTTTGCGGCGGCAACTGTTTATCTGGTTGGCATCTTTCCTCTTCATCTATCTCTTCATCTGAGTCCTCTGAGGAAGTTATCCCCTCCGACTCAGAGGCATCAAGCCCCAGCACTTCCTTTACTGGATAAAGAGATCTCTTTCTGAGGCTTACTTTTCTCCCGTCTCTCCCAAGAGTGTTCTTCCTCTCTTCTTTCGTCCCCGTGAATTGGTTCTTGGGGAGGCTTGATTTCCTTAATACGTCTCTCTTCTCTTTTCCTTTCTGAATTTCTAAGCGCTTCTTTCCTCTCTCTGTTTCTGACATGCTGACTTGTAATCTATCTACTATTCCCCGAACCCTCACGAGAACCAGAAGGAAGAATACTAATGCTGCTAGCACCATAGCGAGAGCCTCTAAAGTTCCTGCCAACTGGGGAGGGAAGTGAATCAAATCAAATTGAAACATATCTCTCAGAGAACATTACCTCGTTCTACGGTTCTGGATTCACTCCACGCGTGGAGGGCGAGTGGAGGGTCTTCTTAAACAGTGCCGGCGATGGTAAATTCTCCCGGGTTTCTCGGCACCAACTGTGACCTGCGCGTGTAGTCGTCTCGCCGGCAAGAACACACACACACACACACACACACACACCGGAATCCTCCCGTATGAACACGTTTATTCCCAAAAACCAAAATGGTGGAAGAAGACCCCCAGCCCTGGGAAAGCACTCCTATATACCCTAGAGCGGTGTATTCACCTCTGATTGGCTGCTTACTCGTTGCGCGCCAAACGCCGTGGGATGGGCTTTAACTTTGGCGGGCTTTTACCATGGCACATGCGCAATTTACTTGTTTACTAGGAAGAATTATGGCTGACAGCGCCACCTAGCGATGGCGGACTTTGCCAGCACCCGCCGTGGCTCTCTACATCAAATCAGCCGATGGAATCCTCAAATATGGCCGAAGCCAATTTATGTCTCCTAAAAGTTTCTGAAAATCATTTAAAGTCTGTAATTGATCCTTACGGATTTCAAGTTTGTGTGGAACAATCATTTCTGGATAAACCATTGCTCCTAAAAAGGATCCAACATCAGCCACTTGCACCTTATCGGTGGCTATATGCAAGCCCCATTGCTGTAATTGAGCCAATAGCATAGGATACACCTTTTGTAATACCCTCATTTCTTGGTGGCATAGAAGGATGTCGTCCATATAATGGACCAACAACAGGGTTGAAAACTGTTTCCTGACAGGTTCAAGGGCCCTCTGGACATAAAGCTGACACATGGTGGGGCTATTTGCCATGCCTTGTGGTAAAACCTTCCACTGATATCTCTTATCAGGTTGCCAATGATTAATAGCTGGTAGCGAAAAGGTGAAGCGAGGTCTATCTTGGGGGGCTAACGGGATGGAGAAAAAGCAATCTTTAACATCTATAATAAAGGTCTTCCAGCCCTTGGGTAGGGCCGACAACAAAGGCAGACCTCTCTGTACAGCACCAAACAACTGCATTTGTCCATTGATGGCTCTGAGGTCATGAAGCAATCTCCATTTTCCCGATTTCTTTCTAATCACAAAGATTGGAGTATTCCAGGGAGAGGTGGATGGCTCTAAATGTCCCAATTTTATCTGTTCTTCCACTAGTTGCATAGCTGCACCCAATTTTTCAGAGGACAAAGGCCACTGGGGAACCCACACGGCTTCCTCTGAGAGCCAAGTTATGGGCTTAGACTCTCCAGCGGCCCCTAGGAAAAACCCAGGCCCTTTTTGTCTGACTGAGATACGGGGGAGATGGGATCAGGTCTGCCTTGTTCCCTCGCCCCTAGTCCTCTACCCTCTCGATAACCCATATGAGACATCATGTTAACAGCCTGTGGAGAATAGGTGTCAGTCAGCTGTAAATTTAGTTGTTGTAACACATCTCGACCCCATAGGTTGACTGGCAGTGGAAGAACATATGGGGTAAAAGTTCCAATCTGGCCCTCAGGGGCTTCCCAACAGAGGGTCTGTGAACTGACTGAGGGGTTAGCTTCATATCCCAGCCCTTGTAAGGAGCGGGATGATTGAGTGACAGGCCAAGCCTTAGGCCACCAATTAGTAGAGATGATACTCTTATCAGCTCCAGTATCTAGGATGCCAGAAAACTGTTTACCTTCCACTTTTAATGTTAAAGTGGGCCTGGTCTGTAAATCCATTATTAAATGGGCCTGATCTGTCCCCGATGACCCCAGACCCCCCTCTCGGTCTTTGTCAGTCGAAGGAAATTTATCTTGAAGGCTGGGGAGCAAGACCAACTGTGCGATACAATCTCCTGATGATATGGAGAAGACTCCTTTAGGACTAGAGCAAAGAACTTGAAGCTTATGTGTATAACCAGCATCTAAAATCCCTGGGTGGATGATAAGACCTTTCAGTGTTAAGGAGGGGCGATCTATAATGAGTCCCACACTACCATTCGGCAGGGGTCCTTGAAAACTAACTGGAACAGGTTGGGCCGCCATTTGTGGCATCAATAAGAGTTCGGTGGTGGCACGGAGGTCCAGTCCTGCGGAACCTGTGTAGGCTCAGCAGCAATCCAACCTCTCTGATGGGGGCTTCGTGTTCCATATCTTTTGGGGCTCTGGCGCCCTGGGCCTGAATGACCGTTTTTTGGCGGCTCATTTTCTGTTCTGGTAGTAACGTCAGCGGGGAGTAAGTGACCCTGCAGGTCTCTGGTGGATCTACACTCACCCGCCCAGTGGTATCCCTTCTTACATCTTGGGCAGAGGCCGGGTGGTCTTTTTGGCTTATTTTGTGGGTGGCAGCAGTCTTTCTTTAGGTGGCCTGGCTTTCCGCACCCATAGCAAACCTTTTGCAGAGAGTTGTCACCTTTTGTTTATAGGATGGCAGCAGCCAGTCCCACATTAGTCAAGGGACCTCCGATGCCTCTACATGATTTTATCCAATCGGCCAGCCCTTTGCTCTTACGAGGCCTTGTAATGGCCTTGCATTCTGGGGTGGCATTCTCAAACACTAGTTGCTCTATAAGGATTTTTATTCTCTCCGTGTCTCCAAAAATCTTTATGGCAGTATCTGCCATTCGTGCAACAAAATCTGAGAAGGACTCTTGGGGCTCCTGGACTACCCTGGTTAATTGGCCCTCAGACTCGCCTTTTCTAGAGAGTCCTTTCCAGGCTTGAACCGTGGCAGCAGCAATCTGAGCATACGCCCCCCAGTCATACTCAGTCTGATTATTAGCATATTGCCCTTGGCCAGTCAAAAGGTCCTATGTCCAAAAGGCTTGATTTCCAATTAAAAGAACATTAGATTTGGCTTGTGCTTGGAGAGCATCCTGCCACAGGGCCTTCCATTCCATAAATTGTCCTGAGCTACTAAGCGTTGCCCTTGTGGTGGTTTGCCAGTCACTTGGCGTTAAGGCCATGTTGGCGAGTCGCTCAACTTGCATGATTGTAAAACTGGCATCTACCCCATATTTGCGGACGGATTTTGCAAGTTTCTCTAGAACATTAAATTCAACAGGGGCATGAATTCATCCGCCTTCAGCCCCTTCATATACCGGGAAAGCCATTAGAATTTTCTGACTAACCTCGGGTGAAAAGAAGGAGTCTACATGCCATCCCACATAAGGCGGGGGCGCACTTGGAAGAGTGGCTGGCAATTTTATAGATTTAGGGCCTGCCACCGCTGGGTCTGTATGTTTTCCCTTTCCATCCTCTGCCCGTGGCCGCTCACCTGGATGATATCTGTTCTCCTCATATCGAGCAGCCTCTTCTTCCAAATCCTCTTCCTCCAAAGGACTAAGGCCCTCAGTCTCAGAGGAGTCTATTTCAAAGGCCTCTAAGTCTTTTAATGGGTACAATGGTCTAGATTTGGCTTCTTTTTTTATCGCCTTGCACTTCTCTCCCAGAGCGTACTTGCTCTTTCCTAACTCCTCAGCAGGTTTCTCACCTTTTGAGGGGCCTAAATTCTTAGCATTCTTTGATTTCCTTTTGCGCGCACCACTTCTCTTTTCTCAATCAGATTCTGACATGCTAGATTGTACTTCCTGCAACACCTCCTGCCCTGCCTTTACCGCTGCACGGCACTGCTCGTCCTTAAGGTCGCCCTCCTCCAAAGCTCGATCTACGCAAAATGAAATGAGCAGAAAGAGAAAGAGGGCGAATACCACTAAAACGAAAGCAGCAGCCGCCTCGGTCACCTGTGAGGCAAGAAGAGAGAGCATACCTTTCTGATCCTTACCATAGGCTGCAGTTCTGGATCCTCCCGCGAATGGGGGTCTCCCTCGGTGCCTGGCGATGGTTCGGCCTGTTCCCGGGTTTCGGCACCAGCTGTGACCCGCGTCACTTTCTCGCCAGCAAGAATGGACTCAGACGTCAGGATCCTTCTGCAGCAAGCTTTATTGAAACTGAAGAGAGGAAAGACCCCGAGGGGAAGAGGAGCTCTCCTTATATACCCATCGGGTCGGCGTGTCCCTACTCTACTGGCTGATGCGTCTCGGCAGGTATGACGCGTCGGGCTGCGTCAGCTTTTGACAGTTACCGGCTGCTCAGGCATTCGCCTTACTGGTGTTTAATGGCGATTTCAGGAGGGAGACTACGCATGCGCGGCAGCGCACCACAGAAGACCAAGAAGCATTTAGCTATGCAAGCAAGCCTAGCTCAGCCTCTGTCACTGTCCGCCGAGTCCTTTTTATACTCCCTCCAAACATCATGTGTCCTCCACAGGTCCTGCCTCAGCACGTGATTCTGTCTCAGCTGACATCACTCTGCCGATTGGCCAGAGTCCTCAGAAGTGATAAGAAACTGCAGCACACCACCAGAAGTTTTTTGGTACATTTCTCTTTATGGAGTCACGACAAATGCAGCTCAACTACACAATGTAAGGCAGATCAATACATTCCTGTCATTAGCAAAGAATGCTTCACCACATGTCCTTTCACGTGCTTGCTTTAGTAGAGCATCCTTCCACCTGGGTCTGCTTCACGTGTTTGTCCCAGCAAAACACCATCCACCACAGCTGACTTTCCAAAGAACCCAAAAGTTTCCACTTGAGTCATGTTTATACAGAACCTCAGAACTGTTTGTGAGGACTGTGCTGGTGTGTGTGGTGTAGTGGGGACTAAGGGAAGGAAAAGAATATCATCTCATTAAAGAGATAGTTATTCCAACAATGTCTCTAGGAAGGCTTAAGGTGTGGCTGGATTTCTCTTCCTTCCTTCCTTCCTTCCTTTCTTTCTTTCTTTCTTTCTTTCTTTCTTTCCTTCTTTCTTTCTTTCTTCTTTTCTTTCTTTTGAGACAGGGTTTCTCTGTGTAGCCCAGGCTGTCCTGGAACTTGCTCTGTAGACCAGTTTGGCCTCAGACTCAAAGCTCTACTTGCCTCCCAGTGCTTGGATTAAAGGCGTGCGCCATCACTGCCTCACCATCACTGCCTGGCTGTGTCTGGCTTTCTAAGGGTGGACCTGTCTCACCCAGGGGGGATCCCTTGGCCAAGTGGTTGAGTGGCTTAACTGGATTAATTATTTCATGTTTTAAGTAGCTTGGAACATTAGGGTTCCACTCACAACAAAGATTTCATCTTCTTGACCAGAAGGAACAAGCAGTAGTGGGCAGAGGGGTGAGGGCAGATCCTGCTAGATTATAAATAGCTTTCTTTTTTCTTTCTTTCTTTTTTGGTTTTTCGAGACAGGGTTTCTCTGTGTAGCCCTGGCTGTCCTGGAACTCACTCTGTAGACCAGGCTGGCCTCAAACTCAGAAATCCGCCTGCCTCTGCCTCCCAAGTACTGGAATTAAAGGTGTGCACCACCACTGCCCATGGATAGCTTTCTTAGATGACTTTCTCTCTCCAACCCCTAGGTAGCAGTTGAAAGCTAGTTTTAGTTAGAGATGTAACAAGATGAGACTTTTCTAAGATGTTATATAATTTTAATTTATATAAGTTTATATATAAATTTTATATATTTAATTTATGTATTTATACATTACATATAAGTTAAATTTAGATATAATATACATAAAATATAAGAATATATAGAGAGAATATAAGAATACATATATTCTTTCCATTTTTAAATTTTGAAAAATTTCAGTTCTAGGCCTGGAAAAGTGGCTCAGTGGTTAATAGCATTTTCTGCTCACCCAGAGGACCTGAGTCCTATACTCAGCCTACATCGGGCAGCTCACTGCTTCTGGCCTTTGCAGGCATCTTTGTTCACATGCACATACCAACACATGGACAAATAATTAAAAAA